TTAGAAAGACGGATTGCCTGAGGCAAGGTGAGAGGGAGAGGTGTTGCACGGTCATCACTGCGGGTGGTGGTGGGAAGGAGGGGTGGGTGATGAATCTGCTCGACTCGCAGTCCAGAGCCCTCAGTGCCTTTGCGTTCTTTTATGGTGGACAGTAAGATGGCGATGGTGTTTTTATATAAAGTAAGAGCACCCAGGCTGCTGTGTGGGAATTTTCCCAACACACTGCAAACAGAGGGGGCATGCACACTGCTGGGGAGAGAGAGAGAGAGGAGAGAAAAAGAGAGGAGAGAGAGAGGTCATGACCCTTCACCCACTTGGGAATGCAAGTTGGGCACAGATTATTTTAGTAAGGTCGTGTTGTTTCTCATAGTTAAATATGCGGCAGTTCTGTTCTAGAGGTATGCTAGTCGGCTTTCTGCTTACTGTAACAAACACCTGAGATAATCTACTTAGAATGAAAAAGAAGGGTTTTGTTTTTTCCAGCTCACCATTTTGGAGGGTTTGGCCAGGTGTGATTTGTTAACCCCTTTGTTTATGAGTTTGAGGTTCAGAGTACACTACAGTAAAAGTGCAAGGCAGAGCAGAAACACCTTGCATATGAGAAGACCAAGGAAAAAGGAACAGGGGTTTCCCACTCCTTGTCAAGGACACACCCTCAAAGACTCGAGGCACTTTCACTAGGCCGTACCACCGAGAGACTCCACCATCTCCCAGTAGTGCCATGCTGGAGAAAAGCCTTTACCACGTGGCCATTAGAGGACATTCATAACCCAAACTATAGCACTAGGTATTCATCCGAGAGAAATGAAAACATGTCTGCTGTTGGGTTAAGTCTTCCTGGGGTGATGCAGATAAATGTCTACGCATCCCAGATGGAGCATCTGCCACAGACCAGGGCCATAGCGCCACCAAAGGCGAACCTAAGGGACCAAGCAGTTTATTGGGTTACGAAGAGGAAAGTGGGTGAGGAGTCACTGGAGCAGGGGTAGCGCAGAGGCAACCACTTCACTGGCAAGCCCACCCCAGGCAGGACCAGCATTCCGGAGAGCTGCACCAGGGGCTCGCACAACGACCACACGCGGCTTCTTCGGTTAGAGTCTTCTCTGCTTCAATTGTCTGCTGCTGATAGAACCTCGGAGAAGAACCCCGTGAACCTTTCATGCTTCAGCTTTTCCCAGGCTTGTAAGCGGTGAGGACCTTCCTTCCCTCCTCCAGGAGGGAATGTTTCAGTTCAGAGAAAACTGCCCCACAGGTGTCCACCAAATAATAATAGCACCCCCCAAACTAAAAACAATAACTGAGCAATGGGAGGATGGTCAACTAACTGTGCTATATCTATCCAACGGAATATTAGCAACAAAGAAGGAAACAAATTCGGTACATGCGACAAGATAATGAACCTTAGATTTGTTCAGCTAGAGAACCCAGCCAGAAAAGGGTACATACTGTGTGACTCCATTTATATGAGCTTCTACAACGAGTGTACTGGTTTATGGTGATACACAGTCATAAAAGTAGTGTTTTTGGTGCCCAGTGTATGGGAGAGGGCTGTAGATTGGGACTGAGAAGAGACACAGGGGAATTTTGTTGAGTGATAGAACACTTTTAAAATATTGATTGTGGTTGTGGTTACATGAATATATTTGTCATAACGCATGAGGTTTTTTTCACTTTAAGTGGGTGAATCATGCTTTGTGTAAAGTATAGCACCATAAGGAAAAAATAAGGGGGGGGGGAGGTTTGAGGGCAGGGACCCTGGAGTTTTCAGGGTGTGTTGGGTAGTGTTGGTGAGAAAAAAAGAGGAAGAAAAAGGTAAGAAGATATTTCCAAAATAAACCGTCCTGTGTTACATTGAAAGATGGGAGGAAAAGTTAGAACTAACTATTGGGTCTCTAGTTGGAACAGCTTAGGGACTGGTCCTGTTACTACTGACTCGTCACTTGGCTCCAACATGCTTACCCTGTTTCCCCCTTCCATCTTGATGATTCATCACAGGAGTGTCAGATTTCCCTGGGGTACACTCCTTGGCTCTTTTATGGTAGCACACACCTTTAATCTCAGCACTCCGGAGGCAGAGGCAGGAGGATCTCAGTGAGTTGGAGATCAACCTTGTCTTCATAGAGAAGTCACATACGTAGTGAGTCCCTGTCTAAAAACAAAAGCAAATGCCAAACTGTATGAGTGAATTTATTTTCTGTTTGCTCAGAACCGGACTTAGAATTTGTATGCCAGTCTCTGTGTGGGACACAGCTCCTACATGGAGTCTTTTGAGCATTTACATACTGAGTGACATTTGATTTTCTTTGTTACTTTATGTCTCTTACACAGCATATATGCTTGTATATTTGAAATTATTATATTTGGTAGATTGGCTATACATAGTAGATTAGATTATCTATGATCGTCAGTTGGGATGGCAATGGGTTGTATTTGTAAAGTATTTATTATCAAAAAAGAATATAAGGTGTAATCTAGTTGGGATCTGCAATATAGTGGTGTGAAGGGGGCTTTGGAGCCAAACTCCCCTCTCTCTCTCTCTCTCTCTCTCTCTCTCTCTCTCTATATATATATATATATCTCCATATATCTTAATATATGTATATGTGTACATATATATCTTAATCACTTCTTACTTACAGGGTTTTGGGAAGATTAATCATGCCCATTGGCACAGGGGTGTAATGCTCCTACCTCAGTGGGCTGTACAAAGACAACAATCGGTGACTAATTAGTATTTGTAAAATATTTAGAACAGTTTGGGATAGCACTCATCAAGTGCTGAAGAAACTGTAACTAAATGAAGTAAACACACCCTTTTCAGGATAACGTATCCACGTTCATAAGTTCAAGGTTTTTTTTTTTTTTTCTGTTTACTATTTCGGAGACTTTCTAAATGTAAAAATATTGGGAGATGTACAGTGCTCGGTTGTACAGTGGTTCTTAGCGCACATTTTTGCTTGCTCAGCATTGCCTGGTGTCTGGGGAGGCCAGAGGACATTAGGTATCCTGGAGTTACAGACAGTTGTAAACCACCATGTGAGTGTTGGGAACTGAACCCGGGTTCTCTGAAAGAGCAGCAAGTGCTCTTAACTAAACTGAACTGTTTTCTGCAGCCCGGGGTTGTGTTTTTCGATAAAGCAAGAAAAATGAATCCCTACCTTCCGAGCGCATAGTTTGTGAATTATCAGTTCATCATTTAACTTTCTCAGTAGGGCAAGGAGGAGAGATTGGAGAAAACGGGTGTTGAGGTATAACCACAGGAACTGAGCAGAAACAAGGGCAAATAGATGAAAGGTCCTGTCTTAGTTTGTCTTCTGTTACTGCGATGAACGCCGTATTGACAAGCAACTTGAGAAGAGGGCTTATTTCGGCTTACAGTTCATCCTCCCATCATACAGGGAAGTCAGAGGACCTGGAGGCAGGAGCGAATCAGAGACTGTTTGCTGGCTTGCTCCCTGTGGCTTGCAACCTGCTTTCTCATACAGCCAGGGATGGTCTGCCCGAGGGTGGACTTTACTACCTACGGTGAGCTGGGTCCTTCCACATCATTTATTAATCAAGAAAATGCCTATAGACTTGCCTCCAGGCAATTTGATGGGGGCATTTTCTCTTTGGGGTTCCTCTGGCTTGTGTCAGCTTAACAGAGAACCTAACCAGGATAGATCCTACTTAAATTTGAAGCTGGGCATATATGTAGAACACTAGCATTCAGAAGACAGAGAGGCTCGCATGAGTTTGACTCCAGTCTGGCCTACATAGAGCAATCTAGGCTAGCCACGGCTAAAGAGTAAGGCTCCATCTCAAGGGAGAAAAAAAAAAAAAAAAAAAAGTAAAAACTACTGGCATTTAACTGGTACTCTTCATTTTACATTTTGTAAAAGAAATTTAAAAAAATGTTTATAGGCTCATAAAATTACAACCACGAGAATAAGAAAAACGTATAACAGTAGTGAACATTCTGGTTCACATTTTAGTTCTTTCTGAGCATTCATTCATTAGCGTGCCTACTACAATACACATTTCTCCCGGAGCAGAACCAGACAGTCACAGAGCTTGTTTCCTGGGAGAGACTGAAGCAGGTTTAAACCAGTTTAAGGACTTAGGATAGAAAAAGAGCAAGAGGAAGTAATTGACAGAGCGAGTTTCCTGAGAAAGCTCCTCGAGCAGCGCCAGGGATGGATTTTAAGTAGAGGAGAAATTTGCAGATTACAGGAGGCACTGTACGCACTGAACATACAAGAATATCTGTGTTCTTATGTGCATTATAACAGTCGTCTTAACGCATCATATTGCTGCACCTACCTGTAGGTATGTATCTTATTGTATTTACATTCAGGTATGTGTCTACACTGTAATTAAAAAATTATTGTAATAATTGTATCTTTATGTATTTACATGTAGATTCATATACTTAATCTACAGGCATTCATCTTACAATGTCCACAAATATAAGCGTCTTTGGGTGTTCACATGTTTTTCTGAGAACTAGTTTTCTGCGTTTTCATCCTTTCTCCGTAACCAAGTCCCCGGGCCGTTATTTGCCACTCCATCTTTTCACGTACTTCGAGTAGCTCTATTTAATGCCACCTCATAACGTGGGACTTTGTAGCTGGTTACAGCCTTTCCAACCACTTCAGTGCCTTGAGTTAATATCTTGATTTTGAAGTACCTGAGAATAATATCCCAAATGATTATTTCTTGAGGAGAAATTCGTGCAAGTGGAATTGCTGAGTCAAGGGTGTGTAAAATTCTGAGGCACAAAATCGTACGAAAACCTCAGGTACGCATTTCTCACCCGAGAAGAGGCGTAAGGAGACAGGTTAAAAAATCTGGCTTAAGGTCAAAAGTGATTAGATGTGGGTGAATTTAAAAACGGCGCGGGCTCCTCGGGCAGCGGCAGGGGTAGAATTTGCGGTTTGGTGGATTTTTTTTTTTTTTTTTTAAAGGCGTATTTCTGCGAGGGAGGGGCCGGGCAGAGGCGAAGGAAACTTGTGTCGCAGTAAAGAAGGAGGAGGGGAGGATCGGAGTCAAACCCGAGCTGGCCTCGGCCAGAAAGGCTGCGCTCCGCGCTCGCCGGGCACCAGATCCGCTCGTGGGGAGCCTCGGAGTTCCCCGAGAGCCCCGGCGAGGTGCCGGCCGCGTCAGGCGGTTGCCAAGCGTCTGCCTTGTCCAGCAGGCCTAGTTGCTAGGGCCTCCATCTTGGGGCCCCGGGGCCACTGCGCCCCCGGAAGGGGTTGCGAGTGGGGCATTCACTTCCGGTCTGGGGCCTGCGGCGGCAGCGGTGGCGGCGGCGGCGGCGGCGGCAGCGGGTCGGTGTAGAAAATGGCGCTGGTGCAGCGGCTCGGGCCTGTCCCCGCGGCGCTGCGGAGGGCTTGAGGCTCGCGAGCCTCGTTCCCCGCGCCCCACGCGCTCGTGCACTTTACACACATGAGGTGAGCGGACCGGAGGGGAGGCTCGCTCGGGCCGGGGAGCCCAGCCGACGGCGCTGCCGCAGGCCCCCCCCCCCCCCCCCCTCAGGCTGCGGGGCGGCGGCGCGGGGCAGTCCCCGGGGGCGCGGGCCTGGGCGGGAGGCGCGGGCGGCCCGGGAGGCTTGGAGCCCGCGCGGGCTGCGGCTCTGGGCTCGGCGGCCCTGGGCTCGGCGGCCCGCAGCGCTGCAGCCCGCAGCCCCGCCCCCCCCCCCCCCCGCCGGGGCCCTGCCCCCGCAGCCCCGCTCTCCTCCCCCTCCCCCCCTTTTTTTTTTTTATTTGTTTGTTTTTGTTTTTGTTTTTTTGTTTTGTTTTGTTTTTGTATCTTGTTTCCCATTTCAGAGAATTGGAAGCTAAAGCTACCAAAGACGTAGAGAGAAATCTTAGCAGGTAAGATGGGCGAGCCTTCAGTCTCCCGCCCCTTTATAATCGTGTTTTTCCACTCTGCTTCGCTCTTCCTGGGTTTATGGCAACCTCCCCCCCCAACCCCCCACCCCTTGTCATTTGCCTTCGCACTCAGGGAACAGACATTCGGGAGAAACGGCCTCAGGGAATATTGCATGGAGGGGGGGGGTCATTGCAGGGAGACGAGTAATTACGAGTGTGTTCGTTCTTAAAAAGAAAAGCAAAAGGCAGTTCTTGTAAACTTAGTTAAAGCATTCTCACCCTTTTAGAATTTAATTAGGGGACTTGTGCATTAATTACTATTGTAAATGGTTGCAGGCATTGTGTGACTCATGATTGAGGCGGCCCTTATGGCGGGCTGTCAAACTGTTTTGGCTTCCCCGTTATTACTTTGTAGCTAAATTGTTGCCTTTATAAAAAGATACTATGTGTTCGCATTTTCTTCCCTCTCGGTCTCTGCACGTTGTAGTCAGGCGGATTCTGTTGCATTGGAAACAGTTTTGTCCTTGAACTTCATCGAGCATAAACTGCGTTTTGTTTTTCTTTGAAACTATATTTTAGTCTGTGTTCAGTGTGTGCTCTTTTATCAGTTGGGAAAGTAATTAAAAATTGTTCTCGGTAAGCGATTATCACTTCTGTTGGGCCTGCTTTTGTATTGGTAAATTCAGCATCAAATACTACCTCAAAAGAGGGTTTTTTGTTTTTTTTTTGTTTTTGTTTTTTTGTTTTTTTTTGTCCTCCACCCCCAAGTGATGCATTTCGGGAAAACGTTTAGTTTTATTGAGCTGTAATTGCTTCAACATCAGGAAATTGCACTATACTTAACCCTTTTTCAGATTCACTTTTAAAATAGGCTCTTCCTTTCTTGTTTGCTTTTTTCTTTTGCATCATATATAATGCAAACAGCTTCATTTGTTTTAGTTTTTAATATGGCTTACATTTGTTTATTGGAAGTTCTAGGCTTATGTTGGGGTTATTAACAGCACACTTGTAAATTACACAGGTATTTTTCACCATGTAGAATTGTTCCAAATTTCTGGCTCTTTGATATTTATAAATGTTAATCTGTTGGGTTGACTGTTAAAGAATCTGTTCTCTTGGCAAAGAACAGTATTGGCTTACCCAGTAAGGTTTTCTGGAACTCTAAATATTATGGAATCATGTAAAAGGGACATTAAAGCTAATATTGGTGGCTAAGTGACTGTCAGCTGGATGTTTAAACAAGTTATGTTGTCAAAAAGTGGGAAAGAAATAATAAGATACAGAGCCAAACAAAATAGACTGAATTATTAATGTGTGATTTTAGTAATAGTATAGGTTTTGGATCTATTTCTCCTTCGATTTTTGTTTTGTCAGGTAACTGCATAGGCCTTGTTTCTGTTAGGGTACTTGGAACTTAGGTAAACACTGTAACGCAAGCATGATTTTCATTTCGTTGTGATTGGGCAGAACTTGGAGTCTCTTCTCTTGGCCTTGTATCAGAGTTTGAATTCCAGCTCTGCCACTTAAAATGACCTTGACTCTTGGCAGGTCACTTAGCTTCTCTGTGTCTATGAAAGGAGAGGCTTGGGCCATCCAGTTACTGAGGTCTGTTAGGCCCCTTGGGTCACATAAAAAGGAATCAGATGCTGTCAGTGTCCGCAGGGGGCATGTACAGTCTGGTAGGGAAACTATAATAGTACACAAATAACAGCAACACGAGGTAGTTGATATAGGGGGTCAAAAGCATTCCATTCGTGTGCTTGGGGCGCGTCAGCTGATCCTAAGATAAGAAAAAGAAAATTATTGGCATTTTAAGGCAGGGTGCGGAGTTCTTTTTGTGTAAGGTTAGTGTGCTTTGAGTAGGGAGAAGTGATTAGATTAGATGGGCACATGCTTCATTTTTACCAAGTGAGAAAGTATTGCACTTTACCCATTAGTACCCTGCTCACGAAGCCATGGTTGGTAGTATCACCCTAGTAAACTGAGTATTTTCTAGGACCCAGTGAGGGGAAGAATGTTGGCAAACTTAACATCTGTTCATCATCTTCCATCTTTGGATGGAGTACCCATCCAAAGACTTGGCATGCCCCCTTACCCTTGAGAGTCTGGGTGAATTAGGCATTCTTAGTTCTGCTTTACATGTAAGAAGTTTGAGGTATAGTGAGGTTAAGTAGCTGAAGGTCCTACCACTAGTGATTGCAGGAGCCATCATGCTGTGTTTAAACTCTATTACTGAAGGTTAAGATGCTTCACTTTAAAAAAATTGGAGAATTTCTTTTAGAGAGTAGAACCCACGATTGCACGTAGTATGTTTATCTTGGAGTTTCTCACTACAGACACTGCTTACATTGTGGACCAGCTAATTAACTACTTGAGGACTGTCTTTGTAGTGTAGAATGTCCAGCATCACCAGGAATACTCCCTGCGCAGTGTTTGTAATGATCTCAGTGTTTTTAGGTTCTGACAGAGGTCAGTAGGGATGAAAAGTGGGGCTGGGGGACATCACTGTTGGAGATCTTGGTTTGGGTTTTGAACATGAAAAGTCCTAAATACTAAATGATGAATGCATATAAAGCGTTTTTTTTTGTTTGTTTGTTTGTTTGTTTTGTTTTTTTGTATCATGGAAGTGCAGCAAACCCTACTATGTGTGTCTCTAGCTTGGAATTTCTGTTCTGTGCACCATTCTGTGTTGTCATTCTTTCTTTCCTGTGAGAAGTGGCAAATCCTTACCAAGACAGTACCAGGGGCCAGTTAAGCAAAATGGCACTAAGGATAAATTAGCTCCATTACCCTAGGTAGGCTAGCTTTTAAAAGTCATTGTTGGCCTTTAGAATTGTCTCAGACATTTAGAAATGTCTCAAGCATGTACATTCGAAAGAAGGAGCTGTAATGTCTAGATGAGGTTGACTACCATTGGAGTTGGACTAGGGAAACAAATCCACTTTGGCCTGCAGAGAGGGTATTAGAACAGTAGAGTTAAAGACTGGAACTCCAGTAAGCACGCAGGAACTTCGTCTAGCAGAAATAGCAAGCAGTTGATCAGTCTGTCTTAAGGCATGGGGTGTGGAGGTTTGAATGTCAGCCTGAGAACTTAGATAGGATCTTTAGATGGTCTAAGGAGATGCTGCCTACGTTCTGGTAGGATACCAAGTGAGCAGAAACTTCAGCCTGGAAATTGTGACCAGGTGTAATTACGGGCACTAGTTGTCTACGTGGAAGGTGATGAAGATTTGCATGGAAGTGGTAGTAGAGAGAGGTGAAGTGTGAAATACTAAGGAAGTGGAACCGGGGTGTTCAGAGCAGGTTAGTTGTGAGAGAGTTTAAATAGTTAGGCTTCTCCATTTAGGATAAACAAGAGATTGACCCAGCCTCAGAGTGAAATAGAAGTTTATGTGAGGAGAAACAATGGTAAGTTAAAATTACCAGTTACAGGGGAAGCAGAAACCTTCCTTTAACTAGTACAACTCCTCTGATGCAAAGCAATTAAAAAAATGTTTTAATGTGTATGGGTGTTTTGCTTTGCCTGCATAGATGTCTGTGTGTACATTGGTCCCTGGTACACATGGAAGTTAGAAGAGGGCATCAGACCCTGGGAAGTGGTGTTACAGATGGTCGGGAGCAGCCAGTGTTTTTAACTGCTGAGCCTTCCTCCCAGCCCCCAACTTTTATATTTTTTGAAAGTATTTTTGGAGGCTAAAGTTACAGAATTACTGAATTCAGAGCTGGGCCTTACGGTAGATATCAGCTAGTATTTATTATTTTTTCAGGTGAGAAAATTATGATTGAGAGACAGTCTTCAAATGACAGCTGGGATTCCAGCAGGCTTTCTCATTCCAATTCTAGTGTTTTCACTGCCCATTAGATAAAATATAATTTATGTTTCTGCTTTCTTTCTGAAAACAATTATGTCAATATAGTTCATGTGCCTTGTAGTGATTTCTGTAAGTTAGGTGTATTGTGTAAGTAGAAGTTAACATAGTTTGTGATACTGATCACAGCTCTCAAACCAACCATTAAATGCCATTATATCACAAATATTAAAGGTGTTATAAACCATAGAGCATCTAATGGGGGACACTTGTTTGAACCATGAATGTCTGGAACAGAAGCTGTATCACAGGAGACCCTAGACAACAGGAGTAAGCCAGGGTGTATGTCTCTAGATAAGATTACCTGTTCTTGCCATTGAGCTTTCATTGTTTAGGGGAAAAGCATTCTAATTTTGTGAGGTTTTTCTGTTGCTTCCTCTGATGTGGCTTGTAGGTTAGGCTTCTTTCTGGCTTAGTTTGGAGATTATGTGGTAAATTGGCTGCTAGAATAAATGAATACAGACTGGGAGCTTAGCTTAAAACTGACAATACTCTGGGAAATTTGAACATAGACATCATAAAAATAATTTATAATGTATATAATAGTTTATATCAAATATATGAAAGTATAGTTTGAAAGATAGTCTTTTATAGTTTAATTTTATGACAACCCCAGAGATGCTGCCCATAATTGGAAATACTGAAATGGCATGTGTTACATGTATTTCATTTGGTCTGGACTAATCTTACTCCAAATCACCTATTTTTCATTAAAAAAAAAAAGAAAATAAAATCATTTGAGGGCTGTAGAGATAGCTAGACAATTAAGAGCTCTGTTGCTCTTACCCAGGACCCATGTTCCATTCAAGTTCAGTTTTTAGCACCCACATTGGCCAGCTCCCACCCACTGTAACTCCAGCTCAAGGGGATCTGGTGTCCTCTCTAGACTCCATGGTACTTGCACTCACACATGCGCATAGAAACATAATTAAGAATAGTTAATCTTAACAAAAAGCCACTTTTAGCAAAGTAGCAGAATTAGTGTAGCACTCACTGCTTCTCATGATGATTTTTACACTCTATTCTCCAAATAGAGCAGTATGTCTCACACAGTAAAGAGGATCTTGTACATAACAGTCAAATGACCAAACATGGAACATTTAACTTTATGTTAAGGTTTAGTCCACATTCACT